AGTCTGGCTGGCATTAGAAGTTATGTTAAATCTAATTTAACCGAATATCCGCGGTGGTTTAAGAGAAAATGCGAGTGTGAGAAAACAGATGAGAAGAAAACCTGAAGCTGCAGTAGAATAGTCTTAAATGCTTAGCCACGAAAGGTTGATATTTGAAGCATTTGCTTCCTGGGCAACAAGCTAAAACCGGTATGGGCAGCAGGATTTATTGGAACAAATAAATGTCTTGACGGCTTATCACCCGCAAACCGTCTTTGCATAATACAGTATGGCGAGTCCTGCATGCAAAATACCTAAGTTTGTAAAACTTTGATCATTACTCGCATACCAGTGTGAACGCATTTACGAAAACTTAGAAATAATAATGCACAGAATAGACATATTAAATACTTCCAAGAAGTATACGAAGTACTAGGTGTTAGGTAAGGAAAATAATTTTTTCCCGATAATCCTCAAGTTCCGGAGACGTAAAATTGCTATAAATTAGAAAAATAAATTTAAACATTTTCTTATGTTTCAGTTTATTCAGTTTATTTGTTGAGGATAATGGGCAATGCCTTTGAAAACCCTATTGATTACATGCCGGTGCGTTTCACGTGTACATGCACCTATAAAAATTACCACTACTAACATAGTATTGGCAAACAGTGAGTAGCATTGTTTTTTTACAATACATGTCTGGTGGTTAGAGTTCAGACTTGGAGGGAAGAGAGGGGACGCATGTAATTATCCAAGCTATGTTTGTACATCTGAAGGGAAGTGGCCTCCACGAATGGCTGCGGAAGGTTGTTCCACTGTTGTATGGCACGTTGCGTGAAGAATTCAGAGCGGAGGTTTAACTTGGACATCTTTGCTTCCCTTGGCCGACTACAAATGGGAATCCTACGCCACCTGAAGCCATAGAGAACAGCAAAATGCCCGCCACGCATCTGCTAGCATCTGTTTTTCAAAAACTCGTGCATGGAAGAAGCATCAGAGGGAATTTTTCTCACCCTTCAATGACACAAATCAACGTATTTTGACTGGGGGCTGTGAGAATGTGATGCCACTCTGTCATAATTGGTTTCCTGAACAGCCCACGTGATAGATGCGTTGGATTGACATGGGAGGGGCGCAGACCAGGATACGGCATGCCTGTGGATCACACGGTGTACGTCTTCCGAATCGATGATCGAACTGCCTTGTGTCATGATTTAAATAATGTTTAGCGCACGGAAGCGCTCCTAAGGAGTCCATGGCAGAACTATTTGCGGTAGAATTTACTGTTTGATAACACGGTCAGGAACTGCAATTGAGCCGCATGATGTTTCTTTCACATATTTTCAAATACGGACTGCTACCTCTTAGCAGACAGCAAGAAAACAGGTATTTATATACTTTCGTAAGCAATGGCGATATAAGTCGACTAATATTACAATGCTTTAATATTAAAAAGTGCAATACTTGTCAGTGCTGTAAAAAATAACACAAAAAGACTACAACAATAACTATACAGAATTATGCAAATGTGTCAGCACATTGTTATCAAGCGTGAGTTGCAGGTTGGTCGCGATACTCATCCTGACGGTCGTCATCAACCTTCATTTACTCGTTATAATATTCACCATCAATGAGTTCATATTTGTTACCATCGACACCATCATCATTACCACCATCAGCGTCCTCGTCCTCTTCGTGAACATCAACGTCGTCGGCACCACTGTTGCCGTCATCGTTGTGTTTCTCATCGTCGCCGTCGACGTCCGCATAATAAGCGTCAACAATATCTTCACCATCAACATGAGCAGTACTCTTATCATCATCATCATCATCATCATCATCATCATCATCATCATCATCA